CGTGAACCAACAAACACCCAAAGACACAATGGTCAGCAGTGTGTATGGATTTGGGGTCATCAGAGGAATGCCCTCAGCTACTGTTTAATTACTCTACAGTTCTAAACAAATCTATTTTCTCTTGCACCAGCTTTCTGCACAGGTAAAATGTTAGTATTGTAAGGTAAGAATCAGAATCAAAGAAGTTGGTGTTTCAAAAAAGTCTCTACCTGAGGCTGAGTTCCTCCTTTGGCCTGATCCCTGAGAAGGTACTGTATTGGGTTACGGAATTTTGCTCTTACTTTCCTGGGCCACTCATCTACTAACACAAGGCTAAATTTATAGTCAGTTCGGTCATTATTCTCCTATAGCTAAGGAACCAATTTTCTCTGGCTTCTTCGAAGATGTTTTGTTTCTAATTTTGTTTTCCACAACTTGATTGTGGTACATTCGGATGTGGGTTTCACGCTTTTTCTAGGTTTATTCTTCTTTCTTCTGTGCATATGTCTTTTTGCCAGACTTAGAACTTATTTAGTTCTTATTTCTTCAAAAAAATTTTCAGCATCCTGACTTTGAATATCTCAGGTGGGTTCTTCTTTATGTTGTCAGTTCTAAAATTTGCAGATTGTTTTCTATATCTCCTGATTCTTTGATAAGATTTTTAATCTCTACACTTATTTCAAGAATGTTCATGATTGTTTGTTGAAGCACTTGGATAACAGCTGCTATAAAGCCTTTGTCAGATATTTACATGTGTTATCTCTTCCTTTAACATTTATTGTATTTTATTTCCCGCAGGATGAGATTTTTCCTGATTCCTTCTAAGAGAATTTGGGTTTTACCTAGGGCTTTTGGTAATTAAAACTCTGGGCCTTAAGTAAAGTCTTTGAAGAATGTTGACATTTTTGTCTGAACATCAAACTCATCTAGATAGGTTAAGGCACCTGTTCTAGGCAGGCTTGTGGACCTGTGGTTTCAGGGTCAGTTTACTTTCAAAGCATTTACTGTGGTATTCAGGTCTGTTTTCTGAATGTGCCATGCAGTGGTCACTCTAGAAGTGAATACTAGCCTGTTAAATACTCAGTGACTTGGTATTTATAGGGTGAGGCCACTTAGCACCCAACTATATAGATTTGCTTTCCCCAATGCCTTCCTTTCTACAACCACACTGTCATTTACAGTTTCTGGGTGCTTTCCTATTGGATCTTCAGGCAGAAAGGTGGAGCTAGTTACCTAGAACTGCCATACCCTTGTCATAATTGCACCCCCATCCAAGTGAAGGGAGACAGAAGAAAAAATACTGGTTATTCACCCCACCTTTGGGCATTGTAATTTTTTCCAAACATTGAGAAAATTTCCCTCATTCAGAATTTTATTTTATCAGGTAATTGTGGGCTTCCATTGTTGGCTCACCATCACTTGAGATTGCTTCAAAGGTGGGATATGAGAGAAAACAAAGAAGAAAAAAATGAGTGGTATTTTTTGTTTTTCCTAAGCATTCAGAATTGACTTTTCCCCCCTTGAGGCAGAACTATACGGCCTTTTTTTTTTTTTTTTTCAGCAGAAGTATGTTAATTCTATGTTACTCAGGAGCAGAAGCCCTATCTCTTGAGGGAAGTTGCTCACTCTGATTATCTCCACGTGTTCTTCTACTGTTCTTCTGGATGGCAAGAATGATAAGGTCACATTTATATTTATTCCAGGACATTCCTTAAGTAAGGTTTTTTGTTTTTGTTTTTGTTTTTTTTGGTGGTGGTGATTAACCACGAGAAATGTTATACCTTTCCCAGATGGAAGAGCAGGCTTGCCTCTCCTTAGTTATAAAACAAGGTTTGTTCCATTTTGAGAATTCCCCCCTGAAACAAACCACTGCATGTGAAGGCACCAAAGAGTGATTCTGTGTTACTCAGTTAAAATTAGGGTAACTGATGCAAACATAAACTATGGCTACTGCTTTTGCTTTGAGTGATAAAACTTTTTGTCTCTGACCGAGAGACTCATGTCTTCTGCCAGCACTTGTGAAAGAGTAACATGAAGGTTCTTAGCTTTCAAGCATGGTAAATTCTCATGCTATACAAAGGCATAGTTCATGTAATAAAAAGGACATGGGTCCACAAGAATAGATAGGGAATAGAACACTTTCTGGGACCTTGTAACAAATTTTCTTACCCAAGTGGTAGACAAGAGAGAGTAAAGATCCTGCACTATTAAAACTGCATACTTCTTCCCAAAGGATGTGTTAGTTGTTACGAACTCCTCTCCAGGTTGTAGGAAGATGATATGACAGCTCTCAACTGATAGGGAATATGGCTTTGGCTAGTTAGTTGAGGAGTGCCCAGAGCTAAAATAAGTGGTATCAACATTGAAAATATGGAGATACAGAAGTTCACCCCTACCTAAGAAGGAGACGTTGGTATCTTACTGTAATCTAGAAACTAGAGAATGTATCTATCTCTGTGGTTAAATTTAAGGCCATAGTGGATGGCCCCAGCATCGACTCAGTTTTGCCTGAAGGGGTGACAACTACTCTACAAAGAGAAACTTTATCTTTTATTTCCTGCCCCAAAGCAAACGTGGTAGTGCAATGAAACACTCCATCTATACAGATTTTTCTAGCTGCATAGGTGTAATTCGTTTGATGGCTTAGCTAAGTCAGAGCTTGATGTTATCTACTGTTCCATTTGGCTAGTCATCATCACTAGCTATTACACACATGCAAAGCAGGTATGTATGCTCGACTCAGTGGGAAGACTCAGGGGCAGAACTTGGCTCACGTGGTATTTGTTTTTACAGTCCTAGCCCATCTTAAGCCGTTGTCAGTAGTGTAACTGTTTCATCATGAAAAATTATGTCTGACAATTCAGACATTCCTCTTTGAGGCATTAATTGTGAGAACAAACATCAGCAGAAGACTGACCTATCTGGACTGACCCAACTGTCTGATGGGAAAGCTAGAGTCTAGCTGCTGATGCAGCCTACCTGAACCCCAGATTGTCACTTTTTTGACATTACAGCCATCATCAGAGTTCTGGCACACATAGAAGTTATCACTGAATGCCAGCCTTGTGACTCCTGATGAAAATTGTTCCATTTGACCCTTGGTCCTAAAGATCATATTATATGGGATGCCTCCACTGCCTACCCTGACCCATTTCCTTCCTCTCAAAACAATCTAAGGTTCCTCATCACAGGTGACCTTTTTTTCATGCCACAGTGTTGCTTTTCCCAGCTGATTAAGTTGATTCCAGTAACACAATGGTGGTACGACGCCTCAGTATCTCTCTGCATTTAGCTTTCTAGGTTTTTACATTCTGATAATGTCGCACCTTTTATTTTAATGCAATGTGAGAAAGTCAAAGTATTTCATGGATGTTCCATATTCCCTAACATCTGCAGACATTTGGTATTATTGCACATTGGGTGTATTTCTAACTCTCTCATTCTCACCTGTCTTCAGGCTACACATTTTAGTAAGATAATTTGACTACTAAATGCTACTGTCTCAAATGAGGGGCTAAATCCTTTTGGCTATTTCCTGGATTTAGATTGGAAAGAGAATTGGTCGTGTGACATAGAGACCTATTTTGAAAAATTATGATCCAATTTGAACTTTCTGGATGAAGGTTGAGTTTTAGTAGTGGATTAATTGAAACAATAAAGGTATAGGTATGAGGATGAGAATCATTAATGGGGGAGGGGGCAACAGAGGAGGACATGAAGACACAACTACTCCAGAGTAAGAGAAGAGAACAATGTCGACCTCTGAATATGAGTTAAGAAAAAATAATTAACACGCTCTGTCTCCTAGGCCTAGCATCAATGACTGGCTCAAGCAGCAACCACAGCTGTCAATCCATCCCATTGCCTGAGAACTGAAAGTTTGTGTTGAAGAGTGAAAACCAAAAATAACTTGAAGACTATGGAAAGTTTATTGTTTTTGAAAGAGAAAGATTTTTAGTGTAAGTCATTACTCATTTATTGCTCATTTAATAAATACTAAAATACATTATCTGTTAGGCATTGTGCTAAATCTGTGCCGATGTCCAAGGTAGACAAGGAAAAGTAGGCAGGAAATATCTGAAAGAGGTTAGATCTTTGGGTTAAGCAGTGATATAAATAAAGCAAAGAGAGGGCCTGCCTTTCAATGCTGGGAAAGATGGCAAAGTTGTGAGGTGGCAGTTTACATGAATGAAAATAGTTTGAATGTAGCTGTAGACAGATAGTGGAACAGAAAGACATGGAACTGGGAAGATAAGGAGGTCAGTTCTTCAGGGGAGTTATTAGCGATGCTGAGGTTCTCAGCTCAGAATCTAAAAGGCATTCAATGCCAGAATAAGGAACTGAGTCTCTCTTTGGATGGAACATAAAGCAAGATAAAAACATGCATTAGAAAAATGTTAAGAGGACTCACAAAGGGAAGAAATAAGGACACAAATAAGATTAAATACTTTGAGGACAGTAGAATAAAAAGAGACATCTGAAATATTTGTGAAATTCCACCATGTGCTAACAGTGATGAAACTTCTATGACAAGAGCACGTAATCTCTACTATTTCAGTGAGGGCATCATGGTGATCATGATTACTGAGCTAGTTAGAGTATGCTATACTTTTAAGGATGAATGCATTTTTAATGAAGACAACTTCTACCAACGAAAATCCAAGCACTTAAATTTTAAAAGCACAGCAAAAATTTAATTGAGAGAATACCAAAGTAAATACTGCATGTGTGCCTTTTCTAGATTTGATTTGTATCTATCCCTCTCATATCATCCCAATTAAGACCGTCATTTGATTCATCCTGGAGTGCATCAGATATCACTTAACCCAGTTTCTTCATTTGCCTATATTCCCTTGATTTCTATCCCTTTAAAATAGTTAATTAGATATAATTTACTTAGAAAGTCTGGTAAATATTCCTAATGACCAAAATGTCCAAATGTTAAACAATAGTAAAGCCTAACATGAAATAAAGCATCATTTTACTCTTAACTCTTTCAAAAAATAACGATAATTAACCCATAAAGTGAACATGTAAGTTTATTGTTCAAATAAGATGATTGCATGCATTTTGCTGATGTTTGCCAACATAACTTAAACTTCGTTATTTTGCACAGTCCGGTAGTCCACTGGTACATCACTTGTAATTAGGGTGATGTTCGCCTAACGAAGGTGGTTGACGAGTTGACCTTGAAAGAGTGGCAGCAGATGTATCAGCTATTGTTGGCATGGGGAACCATGGGTTGCCTGCTGGTTGCAAGTTGGAAAAAGGACCATCATTGACTGATAAATCAGGATATCTAGTTGGAAAAGTAGAAGGCTCCATCATTCCAAAATAACTTCTCTGTAAGGGAGATGTAATATACTGAGAAGTAGAAGTTGTGCTTGTAATAAAATTCACGATGTGACCATTTGCTTGAGTGTAGCTGCCATGTGAGCGCATATGAAAAGTGGTCAACTGATTCAAGACAGCATGTTGGTCCATTACACTTTGTTCTGATGGTCTACCTAAAGTGGATGGAGGAGGAGGAAATTCACTTCTGATTGGAGCAGTTGTATTAGCAATTCTCTGGCTGGTAGCAGGCTTGCTTATTGGTGGCATACTTAAATTTGTGGAAGTTGAAAATGTGCTTTCTGCACGTGTGTCAGCAACAAAACCAGAATTATGATTACCTACATTATTCCCTGTTCCAGAGTGCTTCTTGTTGAAATTTTGAGCTATTGAAGTTGCTGGAGAAGCATTTTTGATCCCAACTCTTCTTTTCATTCTGAGTAAAAGTTGGGGACAGCCTCGCTTAAAATTCGGATTTTGATAGAAGTGTAACTAAAACCAGAGGAGAAAGTTATTTGTTGACACCAGACTCTAAGAAACCTAACCTCTAAATCACATATCAAGTTTATTATGCAAAGTTAATGTCATCAACACATGGACATTGTTAACTATTGTCAAAAATTACTTATCGGGAATATTAAATTAAATATTAGCATGGCCCTCAAGTAAAAATGGTTTCTGCATTTAAAGTAACACTGAATACACTTTTTAAAGTGGTTTCAATACCTTTACTTAAGAGTTCACTGATGAGAGTCAAAGTTGCTAGCAAAATTTTTTATAATCCAGAATGCCCAAACAGTTCTCAATTTTGTGAAAAAAAAAATTTTTAACCTTACTAGTTTCATATATTTTTATGAAATATACATATTTCATTATATATACACATATATACACTTATATAGTACCCTATTACAAGTTGTAACTAAATTTTGTACTACCTTGCTTAAAACAGACACTTCCTTTTCTTCTGCCAGAAAGTCAGCTAGAGAAGCAGATCTTTGAAAACTCTGTTGCACTTTACTAAATCCATAAAGGTTAAGCTGTCGAACTAAACTTTTCATACTTGCAGTTTCAAATACTCTGAAAGGGGCCTTTCTTTCCAAAACTTCTCTCTTGAAGAGTTCTTCATTAATCACTATAGAAGTTCCATTCTCATCCCACCAAATAGACTTAAATTGATTGTTTTCAACTATTTTCCAGAGTTTTCTGGGAAAGGTCATAGATCGAAAATCATTATCTCCATCTGGTTCAGAGATACAAAATGTGTGATGTGGTCTTCTTATCAAGGACCGTGCAGACAAAGCCTGAAAAGCATTTTCTTCGATCGCAGACCTCAAGTCTGAGTCCCCAGTCAATGTGTGATCACACAACAGAGATCCAATGGAGGTTGCTGAACCAGTTGATTCATCTTTAGAAGAATCATCTTTAATTTCTGAAGAAACATGTGCCATCTCAAATAAACCTTTCTTCACCTACCTAGTTTTGAACATCGCAGCCCCCAAATGCTGCCTTGGCAGGCCTACACTGATAAACTACCCAGATCACCACAGTGTTTCTCAACCTGAGTAGCTGTGACATCACAAAATGACTGGTCTCCTAGCAACTAAACATAACATGCAGCAGGGTTTCCTTCTCTCTCTATAAACTTTATTCAGTTAATATAAAATATAGGCTGGTTATTTATGTAGTGTAATCTGCAAAATCTTATTGCACAGAACTTTTTAAGTAAATAAATTTTGGAGGTCCATGGAGTTAAAGAAATTTCCTGCCTTTTACACACACACTTATTCTCTGATTGATGACTAAAGTATAAGGCCCGGTAAATGGACAAAGCACAAAGTAAAATAAACAAAACAAACAACTTTTTTAACTTTTGAAATTTGAAACTGAAATCTGTATAAAACCTGTGGGAGGGGAAAAAAAAGGACTTGCCATCATTTGTCATTAAAAAACAACATAATTTGATTTGAAAATAAAAATGATTCCTCATCTGTGTTTTACACAAATAGCTCTGTAATAATCACATATTTAATACATTTTTTCAGTCATAAATGAATGTAATAAGTACTATTTTAGTTCGTGTCTCCTTAAATACCTACATATACAAAGCAAAATATTTTAAAAGAAAACAGATCTACCTAAGAAGATCTCAAAGAGTGGGAAATAAAACACTTATAGTACAATGTTATAAGTAAAATGAATGTGGTTTAAGGCTTTACCATACACAAAAGAGCAAATATCTTCATTACATGTTTTAGACCCTTTTTTCCCTCTCTCTCCTACTCTTCGGCTTGTCAGTTCTAACAAGAAATATGACTGCTAGTTTTGTTTGTCCGATTGTTTGTATTATCCAGATACAGCTCTTGTTAGGTGTGTTATTAATGTGTTCCTCTTTTTTATATAGTCAACACAAATTCCCAGTCAGAGGTATGGAAAAGGAGAGCCTTAATTCAAGTGAGACGTTTGCAACCAGAGAAACGCAGCCTCTGGTGGAAACCAAAAGTGCCCTCCCCGGGTCCAATGGGAGATGGCCTTTTATAGTGAAAACTTTAGCCAAGGTTCCTGACTGATCCTATTTTACGCAGATGAGAAATACAAATCTCAAATTTTAATTTGTCCAAATCTCACTCTTCTAATTGGTCAGAATCATGTGTTCTGACTTCTTGTTATGGATTAGATATGATCTGTTTAGATGCAAACGAGGATTGACTTGTGCAGCTCTGATTGGATGAGGCACATAGGTCTCAGTGCGTTGCTGCACAGATAAAACCAGAAACTTCTTTATAATGGTTGACTCAGGCAGAGGAAGCACATTGCAGGAAGTTGAAAGCTCAGTCTATGGCATTTCCCCAAAATGCTCTGTGAGGGACCTCTGTCAGCATCGACTGCTAGACTTTGTTTATGAATTTGGGTCTTGTTAACCACAAGGAGTCCTTCTGAAAGATATATTTTTTTCATGCAGTTCACAATAATTTAAAAGGCAGTTATTTTTCTCAATAGGTGCCACTGTTAGTATGTTGTTTTGTTTAACAGTGATTTGTGATTTTAAAATTTAGTATTTTGTGCATTAACAATAAACAATTAGATATATTCTGTTTTAGTAAAACTCAGTAAATTTATCTTACCTAAAGTGAAATCCTTTAATTAAAAATAAATTGCATTTAAAATAACCCATATAAATTGCATTTAAAATAACTCAACACAATAAAATATTTTATGTATTTGAATAAATTTCTTCTCAATCTAGTACACCTTTCTGTTTCAGCGAATATATATTTTATCCACAATGAAATATTAGCAAACTGAATTCACAGCACATTACAAGGATCATATACCATGATCAAGTGGACTTTATTCCTAGAAGAAGGGATAGTTCAACATCTGCAAAAATATACATGTAATACCTCACATTAACAAAATGTAGAATAAAAAACAATTTCAATAACTGCAGAAAAATAATTTGAAGAAGTTCAACCGACTTTTATGATTAAAACTGAAAAATTAGCTGTACATGAAAGGTAACGGCTTAATGAAGGTTATGTGTGAAAAGTCCACAGCCAAATTTATATTCAATGCAGAAAGACAAGAAACTTTTCCAGGAGATCAGGGATAAGACAAAGATTCTCACTCTTGCCATTTTTTTCAACAAGGAAATAAAAGTTTTCGCCAGAGAAAATAGGCACCAAAAAAAAAAAAAAAAAAAAAAAGTAAATAAAGTCGGAAAAAGCAGAGTAAAACTGAACATTGTCTCTTCAGATGACATAAGCTTATGTATATAAAACCCCAAATACGCCACCATAAACTGTTACAACTAGTAAACCAATTAAGTAAAGATGCAGAACGCAAAATCAATAGGTAAAATGTGTTGTATTTCTATACATTAACAACAAATTACTGGACACAGAAGTTAAGAGATTAATTTCATTTTCAATTGCATGAATCTCAATAAAAGACGAAGGAGTAAATGCAACAACATGAAATATTTATGCATGAGAAAGTATACACATTGATGCAAGAAATTTAAAAAGACAAAAATAAATGAAAACATATTAGTGTTGGTAGAGCTTCAATGTCACCTCTAACCAACTTTCAATGGCATTCTTCACAGAAATAGAAAACACAGTCCTAAAACTTACATGACCCACAAGAATCCCCAAATAGCCAAAGCAATTCTGAGAAAAGCAGGGCAAAGTTGGAAGAGTCACACTTTCTGACATCAAACTATATTTAAAGACGTTGTCACTAAAACAGCATAGTCCTGGCATAAAAACAGACACATAGATCAATAAAACAGAATACACAGCCCAGAAATAAACCTGTGCATACATGGTTAAATTACTTTTGTCAAATGTGCCAAAAATACTAAATGGGAAAGTAATAGTCTCCTTAACAGTTTTTGGAAACTCAAATAACCACAGGCAAACAATGAAATTAGATTTCTACCTTACCGCACATAAGAATCAACTTGAAATATATTCAATATTTGAACATAAGACCTAAAACCTAGAAGAAAGCATAAGGGTAACCTCTTTGACATTGCTCTTGCCAATAATTTTGGACTTGACATCAAAAGCAAAGGCAACAAAAGCAAAAATAAACAAGTGGGACAACCTCAATCTAAAAAGCTCTTGGATAACAAGAAAAAAGGTGGCGTAGATGATAGAGGCTTTGTTCATCCCTCTTGAGTTCACATCAAAGTTATGACAGAAACAGAGAGCAAACAGCAAAAAAAGTCGCCCGGGATCTAAATGAACAAGTCCTACAACTAGGCAGAGAAATAAATCACCCTGTAACAGGAGGAGGTAGGATGGGCGAGGACACAAGGCTGCCAGTCCCAAGTAACTGAGTGGGACAGAGGCTGCAGCAGCTGCA